TAAACCTTTCATTTTCCCCTCTAAAATGCTCCCATATCTCTGTCAGAAAACAGTCTTAAAATATTTCTAGATGACAAAAAAAATTAATATTTAAGAGCACATTCAACTCCACTCAAAAGCTAAGGATCTGAGCCGGGCACTGGTGGCTCACGCCTGTAATCCTAGCTACTCAGGAGGCTGAGATCTGAGGATCGCAGTTCAAAGCCAGCCCGGGCAGGAGAGACAGTGAGACTCGTATCTCCAATAAACCACCAGAAAACCAGAAGTGGCGCTGTAGCTCAAGTGGTAGAGCGCTCGCCTTGAGCTGAAGAGATGAGGGACAGCGCCCGGGCCCAGAGTTCAAGCCCCGCGACCGACAAAAAAAAAAAAAAAAAACCTAAGGATCTGGGGCTGGGGAGGTGGCTCAGTGGTAGAGCGCTTGCCTTGCATGCATGAGGCCCTGGGTTCGATTCCCCAGCACCACATAAGCAAAAAGATAAAAGCCGGAAATGACACTGTGGCTCAAGTGGTAGAGTGCTAGCCTTGAGCTAAAAGAGCTGAGGGACAGTGCCCAGGCCCAGAGTTCATGCCCCACGACCAGACCCAAAAAAAAAAAAAAAACTAAGGATCTGAGTCAGGTGTGGTAGCATATGCTTATTATCTTAGCAAAGAGGACTGGGCTACATAGGATTTTATGTTAAAAACCATAGTTAAAACACACACACACACACACACACACACACACTCACCATAGAACAAAAAGCCTAAGAACTCAAGAATAAAAAAACTCCAGCCGTTGATTTTTTTTTTATCTAAAAGACAAAACCAAACCAAACCAGGCAGTGACAGAAACTTGTAATTCCCTGGCTTGGGAGGCTAAAGAAGGAAGATGGCCAAGTTGTGGCCAGCATGGGTTACACAGTAAGAGCCTCTTCTCAAAAGGGAAGAAAAGCTAGGTGCTGGTGGCTTATGCCCATGATCCTAGCTACTAAGGAGGCTGAGAACCGAGAAATATGGTTTGAAGCCAGATTCCTATCTCCAATGAACCACCTGAAAACCATAAGTAGAGCTGTGGCTCAGGGATAGCACCTAGGCCCGGGGTTCAAGCCCCACAGCTGACCAAAAAAAAAAAGGGGGGGGGAATCATGTAACATAATTGTACTTTTAAGATCTTAATTCAAAGCTGGGCATCAGTGGCTCATGCCTGTAATCCTAGCTACTCAGGAGGTCGAGATCTGAGGATTGCGGTTCAAAGCCAGACCTGGCAGGAAAGGCTGTGAGACTTATCTCTAATAAACCACCAGAAAACCAAAAGGGGCACTGTGGCTCTAGTGGTAGAGCACTCGCCTTGAGCTGAAGAGCTCAAGGGACAGCGCCCAGAGTTCAAGCCCTATGACCGACAAAAAAATATATATAAATAAGTAAATAAAATCTTAATTCACATTAAAAATTCAAATCATATGACTAAAGAGACAAATACAGCACCTGACCCTAGACTGGATCCAGCATCGAAGGAATAGAGCTAACACGATTAAGACAAACACCCTAGCAATGTTCCACTCTCCAGCCTGATACACCCTGTAATAATGTCAGAATGGAGTTTTTTAAGTAAAAAGAGCCATGAGGTATAAATGTTAAGTGTGTACTATACTTCCAAGAGGAAACATTAAAACAAATGGGAAGCCGGGCGCTGGTGGCTCACGCCTGTAATCCTAGCTACTCAGGAGGCTGAGATCTGAGGATCGTGGTTCAAAGCCAGCCCGGGCAGGAAAGTCCATGAAACTCCAATAAACCACCAGAAAACCGGAAGTGGCGCTGTAGCTCAAGTGGTAGAGTGCTCGCCTTGAGCTGAAGAGCTGAGGGACAGCACCCAGGCCCAGAGTTCAAGACCTACGACCGACAAAATAAATAAATAAATAAATAAAACAAATTGGATAAAAGGTTCACCAAATTGTGAATCTAGACAAAGATTAATGTTGTTCATACTAAATTTTATTCTTATACCTTTTTTATAAATTTCAACTAATATCCCCCACACACAAATATTTTTTAAATCCTAATTCCCTCAGCCTGGTATGATGGGAACCCATCAACCTGGTCATGGTGGTTTTTGTTTTAAGTTATCTTTAAGTAGCCATGCAAAAGGGTTTCAATTTAACTTGTCAGTTTATTACAATCAATGCATCTTGATCAATGTTACCCCTGTCATAATTCTCTTCTCTCAACCCCACCTGACCAGTCAACATTCTAAATTCATGGTACCCATTCTTTGCAAAAACAAACTTTAAACAAAGCATTTCCACAAAGGCTGTATGCCCACTAACCCTCCCCGCCTCCTCTGCGCTACAGATGCCCCTCAACTGTCCTAATAACCCCCGCAGACTGTCGGCATCCTAAAAGGGCACAAACCCTGGCTCAACCTGTCTGTGTACCTCCGCCTATGAAAACGCTGAGGGGCCAAAGATGAACTCTTTGCCCAAGCTTCACCATTAGTCAAGAGCCAAAAATACAAAAATTCCTGTTTACTGGCTAGCAACTAAACTATGTTCAGTCTATTTGGGAAGTGCACCACCATCACCACCATTCTGGCAGAGTACCCTCCATGTGCAAACTACCTATGTGACTTTCCACTTACATTCTCTGCAAGTTCTCCCAGTCATATGACTTTCCATTCTCAATCTGCTCAGCAAATACACTGTAATCAGTCTTCTCTACAAATAATTACCTTGGCTTTCCCTCCATGTGCCTAAAACATGATTTCTAGGCAAACCTTCAAAGAACTTTAAATCTCATTTAGAACTATTCCTGAACAATATGATCTACCCAAGGCAATTCCATTTTTGCTGTCTCTTCTATCCTTACACTTGCAAGATGACGTTTGGATCTGCCACTTTTTAAAGTGTTTCTCTAACTTGAGTTTTACTTTTATTCATTCCAAAAATGGCTATGAAAACCAGGCGCTGGTGGCTCACGCCTATAATCCTAGCTACTCAGGAGGCTGATATCTGAGGATCGAGGTTCTAAGCCAACCCAGGCAGGAAAGCCTGTGAAACTCTTATCTCCAATAAGCCACCAGAAAACGGAAGTGGCGCTGTAGCTCAAGTGGTAGAGCACTAGCCTTAAGCTGAAGAGCTGAGGGACAGTGCCCAGGCCCAGATTTCAAGCCCCACAACAACAACAACAACAAAAAAGCTACGAAGTATCCGACTGAGTAACAGGACAGTGAGGCCTCTGTCTTCTTACTTTCGGGCAGGGGAGGGCAGACAAACAGTGAATACCAAGTATTGTACAAGTGCTCTGAAGAAAACAGGAAGGTGGGAGAGGATAGAGTAGCATCTTAAGATGAAGATCTCTCTGAAAACATGTGAGCAGATTCACTTGGGGCATTTCAGAAATTAATGCAAATTATCTACTTGAGAGCAAAGTTAATTCTGGCCAATGATAGGAACCCTGGAACAGACTGTTATGTATAAGTAAAATCTGCTTCAACTCTGAAATCCAAATATTAAGAAACCAAATAGGGTAGGGTACTGGTAGCTCACACCTGTAAGACTCGCTACTCCAGAGGCGGAGACACAGAGGATTGTTGTTTGAGGCCCGCTCAGTCTGAAAGGTCTATCCAGACTCCATCTCCAAAATAACCAGCAAAAAGCAAGGTTAAAGGTTCAAGTGGGAGAGCAACAGCCTAGCAAGCTTGAGGCCCTGAATTCAAACTCTAGAACCACAGAAACAAGCAAAAAGAAAACTGAGCTCTTCCCAAGCCATAGTACTCTAAACCAAAATTGTAAAAATTCAAAGCAGATACCCCTAATTTCTAGAGCTATGCATAAAACATGTCTAGAATTCTCAGTAACTTTAAGAATAGACAGCAAACCTTTCCTAATTTTTTAAAATTACAAATGCCAACCATATATGTTAATGTTGTAAGAAAGGGTAAAAATATAGCAAAACAAACATAAAGTTTGACTATGATTTTAACTTTGAAACTTTCATGACTGCTCACAAGTTCACATATCTAGGGAAAAAGACAAGAAAAAGAAATCTTAGCCGGGCACCGGCTGTCATCCTAGCTACTCAGGAGGCTGAGATCTGAGGATCTCGGTTCAAAGCCAGCCCAGGCAGGAAAGTCCATGAAACTCCAATAAACCACCAGAAAACCAGAAGTAGCACTGTAGCTCAAGTGGTAGAGTGCTCGCCTTGAGCTGAAGAGCTGAGGGACAGTGCTCAGGCCGAGTTCAAGCCCCACAACGGACCAAAAAAAAAGAAAAGAAAAAAAAAATCTTATTATCTCATGTGAGCCTGCCCATTTATTGATCAGCATTTGTTGACATCATCAAAATTGAGAATCGAATTGTCTTCTTTTGCTAAAATATTAAATAATGCAACATATTAACATCAACAAAAATAACCAAGGACTATGAAAATTCCCCCTATGGCATAGTGGCACATACTGTATTCCCAGAACTCATGAGGCTAAAAACTCTGGATCCTCTTGGATCCAGACCTCAAGGTCAGTATGGGCTACACAGTAAGATCCCATCTTAAAATCCTTCCTAAGCCGGAAGCCAGGGGCTCACACCTGTAATCCTAGCTACTCAGGAGGCTGAGATCTGAGGATCACAGTTCAAAGCCAGCCCTGGCAGGAAAGGCTGTGAGATTCTTGTCTCTCCAACTAACCACCAGAAAACCAGAAGTGGAAGTATGGTGGTGCACTGCTTTTGAGCTGAAGAGCTCAGGGACAACACCCAGGCCCAGAGTTCAAGCCCCATGACCAAAAAAAAAAAAAAAAAAACCTCCTAAAAGCTTTTAAAACCTGATTTACTTAAATAGCTTAAATAGTTCACTAAATCGTAAATACAAAAATAAGCATAAGGATGCTTTCACACAGATATCTGAGAGGTTAGCCAGGAGGACTCTTAACCATTGTTCAGAAACTCCTAAGGAAAAAAAGAAAAATCTCCTTACCTCCAGAGACCACCTCTAGTGCCTGTAGTTCCTGATTGTTAGTTGCAGCCACTTACCTTCAGCAAGCCCCTGCAGTTATCAAGGCCAATATCCACAAGAATGCCTTTCACTCTCTTCCGAACTTTTCTGATGTTATCAAGATTCTCCACAGGAATTTGAAACATTTTTGAAATTTTCCTTAAAAGAAAACAAAATCATATCATGTATTCTATTTAAATATATACATATAAAAAACACAAAAATACCGTTTTTAACAGGGCTGCTAAAGCACTAGAAGTAGGGAATTAGTTTAAGCAACTGATACTGGGAAAATTAGCATAGTCACATGCAAAAGAATGAAGCTGGACTTCTTCATTATAGCACACACACAAAAGGAAACTAGATACCTACATGTAAAAATGAGCAAAAACTACAAATTATTACAAGAAAACAATCTTTATGGATTTAAGACTTGGCAACAGTCATACCAAAAAGTAAACAAAGGAGGAGGCTGCAATGCTTGGTAAGAAATGTACACATTATCCTGCCCATGCAATTGTAACCCCTCTGTACAGTATTTTCACAAATAAAAAAAAAAAAAAGAATAGAATGTTAACATCGCCATCTCAAACACATTTAAATATCCTCTCAAGTGATTGAGAAAGATAACTGTGGAAAGAAACCAAATTATGCTGCATTGGATCAATAAATTGCTTTGGCTGTAAAGAGTAGAATTGGTCCACCTGTATCCCCATTGCAACAATGAGATGTACAAGTCGTTATGTC